TTTCTCAAGACTGTTTTAGCTCCTTAGAGTCTTTTATGGTATGGTACAAATTTTAGGGTTTTTTTTTGTTCTAGTTCTGTGAAAAATGCTATTGGTACTTGGATAGGGATTGCACTGAATTTGTCAATTGCTTTGGGTATTACAGATATTTTAATAATACTAATTCTTCCAATCCACAAGTGTGGAATATCTTTCCACTTGTTTTATTTTTTTTTTACATTTAAAATTGAAATTTTTTTTTGTTAAAAGACAAATAATCAAAGACAGATGATTCTTATTGTCATTGTTATTTTAGTTTTTCTCAATCTTTCAGCTGTGTTTTATAGTTTTCAGAATACAGGTCTTTTACCTCATTAGTTTATCCCAGGTCTTTTTGATACAATTGTAAATGGAATTATTATATTAATTTCTCTTTCTGCTTCATCATCAGTGTATAGAGATGCAACCAAAATCTTTGTACTAATTTTGAATCCTGCTACTTTACTGAATTCATTTATTCTAATAGATTTTTAATAGAGTCTTTAGGGTTTTCTCCATATAGTATCATGTCATCTGTAAGTTGTGATAGTTTAACTTTTTATCAGTTTGAATACCTCTTATTTCTTGTCTGATTGCTGTGGCTAGGACTTCCATTACAATGTTAAATAAAAGTGGTAAGAATAGACATCCTTGTCTTATTCCTGATCTTAAAAGAAAAACTTTGTTTTTCACCATAAAGTTTGATGGTAGTTGTGGGTCTTTCATATATGATCTTTATTATGTTGAGGCATGTTCCCTCTATAACTGCTTTGAGAATTTTTATCATGAACAGATGTTGAATTTTGTCAAATGATTTTTCTGCATCTGCTTAAATGAACATATGGTTTTTTATCCTTTCTCTTGTTTATGTGATGTATCATAGATACTTACAATTGTTGATTTTTTAAGTACTGAACCATCCTTGAATCCCTGGAATGATACGCACTTGCTCGTGAATGATTTCCTTAAATGTATTGTTGAAAGCAGTTTGCTGATACATTGTGGAGGATTTTTACATCTATGTTCATCAGGGATATTGGCCTATAGGGTTTTTTGTTTTGTTTTTTGTTATTTTTTGTAGTGTCTTTGTCTGCTTTTGGTATCTGGGTAATGCTGTCTTCATAGAATCTATTTGGAAGATTTCCTCCCTCTTCAATTTTTTTGAAAGAGCTTGAGAATAGGTGTTAACCCTTCTTTAAACAGTTAGTAGAATTTACCTGTGAAGCAGTCTGCTCCTGGACTTTTGTTTATTGGGGAGTTTTTGGATTACTTATTCAATTTTGTTACTAGTAGTTGGTCTGTTCAGATTTTCTATTTCCTTCTGATTCAGTTTTGGAAGATTATATGTTCTTAGGGCTTTATCCATTTCTTTTAGGTTGTTCAGTTTGTTGGCATATAATTTTTCATAGTACACTCATAATCCTTGGTATTTCTGTGGTGTCAGTTGTCACTTTTTTCATTTCTGATTTTTTTCATTTGTGTCCTTTTTTCCTTGATGAATAGGACTAAAGGTTTATCACTTACGCCTGTCTTTTCAAAAAACCAGCTCTTGGTTTCATTGATCTTTTCCACTTTTTTAAAAGACTCTATTTAATTTATTTCTGCTCTTTTATTTCCTTCCTTCTATTCGCCTTGGATTTTTCTTTTCTAGGTCTTTTAGGTATAAGGTTAGATTGAGATTTTTTTTTTATTTGAAGTGGACTTGTACTGCTATAAATTTCCCTTTTTGAATTGCTTTTGCTGAGTACCAAAGATTTTAGATAAGTGTGGTTTCATTTTCACTTGTCTCCTTGTATTTCTTGATTTCCTGTCATTTCTTATTGACCCATTGGGTATTTAGTACATGTTGTTAGCTTCCATATGTTTGTATTTTTCCAGTTTTTTCTTGTGATTGATTTCTAGTTCCTTACCACTGTGTTCAGAAAAGATGCATGATATGATTTCAATCTTGAATTTATTAAGACTATTTTGTGGTGTAAAATGTGATCTATCCTGGAAAATGTTCTTTGTGCACTTGTAAAGTGTATTCTTTCATTTTGGGATGGAATGTTCTGTGTATATCTAAGTCCATCTAGTTTGATGTGTCACCGAGCAACACTATTTCCTTATTGATTTTTCTGCCTGGATTATCTATCTGTTGATGTAAGTGGAATATTAAAGTCTCTGCTATTATTATTGTCAATTTCTCCCTTTATGTCTGTTAATATTTGCTTTATGTGCTTAGGTGCTCCAATGTTGGGTGCATAGATACTTACAATTGTTACACCCTCTTGTTGTATTGACCCCTTTATCATTACGTAATGCCCTTATTTGTCTCTTATTGCAGTCTTTGATTTAAAGTTCTTTTGTGTAAGTATTACTACCCTGGCTTTTTTTTTTCCCTTCTGTTTCATGGAATATCTTTTTTTTTATCCTTTCACTTTTAGTCTGTATGTCTTGTGTCTGAAGTGAATCTCTTATAGGCAACATATAGAGGAATTTTTCTTAATCCATCATGCACTCTAGAGTTTAGACCATTTGCATTTAAAGAAATTATCAGAAGTTATATATTTATTGCCATTTCATTATTTGTTTTCTGTTTTTTTGTAGTTCTTCTGTTTCTTTCTTCTTTTCTTGCTTTCTTTCCTTGTGATTAGTGACTTCCTTTAGTGTGACTCTTGGCTTTATATTTATTTTTTTTGTGTATCTATTCCAGATTTTGCATTTGTGGTTACCATGAGGTTCATATAACATCCTAAGTATATAGCAATCTATATTAACTTAATGGTCACTTAAGTTTGAAAACATTCTAAAATAATTTTTTACTCCCTCCTCCACATTTTATGTATATGGTATCATATTTTATATCTTGTTATTCATATATATGTATACAAATATGAATTATATATTATATAATGCATATTATATACAGTTATATAATGTATAATTTTTATATATATAAACTTCTAGTTATGGCCCTTTCTTTTCCACTTAAAGAAGTCCCTTTAACATTTCTTGTAAGGATGGTTTAGGGGTGATGAACATCTTTAATTTTTGTTTGCCTGGGAAAATCTTTTCTCTCTCCTTCAACCCTGAGAGATAATCTCATTGGGTAAGGTAGTCTTGGTTATAGATTTTTCCCTTTCAGCACTTTAAATATATCCTGCCACTCCCTCCTCGCCTGCAAAGTCACTGCTGAAAAATCAGCTGACAGTCTTATGGGGGTTTCCCTTGTATATAACTTCCCTTCTGTTTTGCTGCTTTTAAATTCTCTATTAAATTCTCTTTAATCTTTGGCTTTTTAGTTCTTATGTGTCCTGGTGTAGACCTCTTTGGGTTCATCTTATTTGGAACTCTCTGTGCTTTCTAAACCTGGATGTCTCCAGGTTAAGGAAGTTTTGGCCATTATTTCTTCAAGTAAGTTTTCTGCCCCTTTTGCTCTTTTTCTGGGACCCAATATGAATACTTGTTCACTTGATGTTGTCCAAGAGATCCCTTAACCTGTCCTCATTTAAAACATTTTTCTTTTTGTTGCCCAGGTTGGCTGTTTTCCATTACTCTGTCTTCTAGATTGCTGATCTCTTCTTCATCTGCTAATCTGTTGATTCCTTCTAGTGTATTTTTCATTTATGTTCTTTAATTCTGAATTTTTTTCATATTTTCTATTTGTTAACTTTATCAGAAATAGTGCTATCTCCATTTCATTTTGTTCTTTTCCTGAGGTTTGGTTTTGTTTGGAGCATATTCCTCTGTCTCCCCTTTTTCTTAACTTTGAGTCTTTATTTCTATGACTAGGCAGAACGGCTAATTCTCTAAAACTTGAAGGAATGGCCTTGTGTATGGTTATCCCCTGTGTAGGCTATGTGTATCTGGTGACTTTGCCTGACTGGGGCTATGGCTGGTGGGGGCTGGGGACACCCTGGTGGGATGGCTGGAGCTGACGTGGTTGCAGGCCAGGGTATTCCTGGGACTCTCTGAACAGAGAGTGTCCTGGAAGGACAGCTGAGGCTGAAGTAGGTACAAGTTGAGAGGTCCTGGGGATCTCTACATTACAGCCTCCCCGCCCCCCGCGCTGCCAATTACTTACTTTTAACTGCTTTTGAGGATTTCTGCAAACTTTTGATCAGATGGTTCTCATTTTAGATCCATAGCAGCATTTAAAGAATGTTCAGTTTGGCATAAGCTAAAAATCATGGGATGGTTTGGTGTTCCTATCACCACGCTTAATAATCAGAAAGCATATTCCATAACTAGTAGCCAAAATTTCACTGTAGGATTTGTATCCCAATTCTGTGCTGAGAATGGGCCAGAGCATCCATCCTGGAATGAAATACTGAAGTTTCAGTTACTGTAAACCTTAAATTGTATTTCTAGCAAATGTATCATTTAAGGCATTGGGGAGAAATTGTTAAAATTCCTAAAAGTTGAAGAAATATTTAAATGATGTTCAACAAGATGTCAAGTAAAATCTTAAATCAAAGATAGCATTAACTGCAAGGCATACCCTTATCTTATAGAACAAAAATATGGGAATATTATATTAGTGACATGTGATAATTTAATTGACAGGGATTTTTTCTTTAAAAAAGTTAAACAGCATTTCAAAAGAGACAGAAACAGTCCCATACTATGTAAAATGTTGAAATTTAAAATTTTAAACACTAAGTTTAAAAAAGTAAAAGTATTTTATCCTTCTATATATCCATAGAAAGAACTACTAATCATCTTTGGATATATATAAGAAAAGATATTCTTAAATATATTAAGAAGAATTGGCACATTCTGAGAATGAGTTATTTGTTAAATTGGCTTTTGGTCAATTTACCTGCTTCCCTTGGAAGTGGGCAGGTATGACATAGATCAGTCTGTTGAGGTGTGGGTATAGTCTCTGCCCCTCTGAAAGTTGAAGACTGAACTGTGTGGTGGCATCATCCTGGCGTTCAAAGGGACCAGCTGCCCTGGCCCAGTCTCTATAGGGCTATGATCTGTCCCTCCTCTCCTAGCCATCCTGCTGGCCTCCCGGGAGCTGATCCGCAGCAAGCGTCTAAGGCAGATGCTTGAGGTCGTCTTGGCCATCGGCAACTTCATGAACAAAGGGCAGCGTGGGGGAGCCTATGGGTTCCGGGTGGCCAGCCTCAACAAGATTGCAGATACCAAGTCCAGCATTGACAGGTGGGATCTTGTCTGCTGCCTTATCTTCCACCTCACCGCACCCCAGCCTCTTCCCTCCTCCTCCCATTTCTGACTCAAACTCCTTGCCTTTTCCCCTGACCCCTCCTGCTAGTTTCCTCCTGGTCTTCATTCCTTTACCCCTGACCTTTCACCCACAGAAACATCTCTCTGCTCCATTACCTGATCATGATCCTGGAGAAGCACTTCCCTGACATCCTGAACATGCCCTTGGAGCTACAGCATCTTCCAGAAGCCGCCAAAGTCAAGTGAGGGACCTTCTTTCTCCCTGTGATCATAGCACTCTTGTCTAAATTTCCATTCATTGCTACTGTGGGATGACTAGGAATGGGCACTGTCTCAGGGTCTGCCTTTAGGAGAACCAAATGAAGACCGGCTACTTGCTGTCAAATCCTTATTTCAGAGATATTCCTAGGAAACAGTGGGGAAGTGAGCCAGGGGTGGAAACAACACTAATAACAAAGTATTATTAAGCCAGCTACCCCTGCAACCTCCCTCCATGGAAGTCTGTGAGACAGCATAGGACACTTACTCAACTTACCCCATCCAGGAGGTGAGGGAGCTAGGATATCATACCCCATCTCCTGTCAGTCATTAGCTGAACGTCTCTGGGCAGGGTATGACTCTGGCCATAGGAACAGGCAAAGGGAACTCTGGGATCCAGAGAAAGTGCTCGCATCATTAGAAGTCAGGATTGTACACTACAGTGGATGGTCCAAGGAGATATGGATATAGCACCAATGCTATCTCCTACAGGCAAGAAGTTAGACCTGAAGAGACATAGGCTGATAGAAGCATTTCCAACAGAAGCAGAAATGCAGTGGAAATTAGTTAATATGCAACACATGCTTACTGCACACAGGACAACATGTGAAGAGTTTTAAGTATTACCTGCTGGTATTAAAAAGAATTCAAGTCAGAAGCCATGTGTTAGAAAGCTACTATTCAACATAACATTTCTGATCTGGAAGGATCTTCAGAACCTAAATTTCACTCCTATTATTTTATAGAAGCACAGACAGAGCACAGAGGGGAGGTGATGTAGCAGGCCTGGAGCATGGGTCCACTGACTCCAAGGCCATTGTGGTTTGCACTGCCATCTGTCTGAACCATGCTCAGCAATTCTCCATTCCTGTGTGTCTCCCTGCAGCCTGGCAGAGCTGGAGAAGGAGGTGGGCAACCTCAGGAGGGGCCTCCGAGCAGTTGAGGTGGTGAGTACACCATCTATGCCTGCCTGGGTTTGAGGGGTTGCTGCCTGTGCCTGTGCTGAAGGCCAGACCCTGTGCCAGTGACTCTGGCACCCCAGACAGGAGCTCTGGGACACAGAAATGCATCAGACAGCGTTTTCCATCTGGGAGCCTACTATCTGGGGACCTATCATTTGACCAAGTGATAGGCAGCAACAGAGCTAGCCCTCAGGAAAGGATGACTGGATTATTTAGGACTTAAATTTAGAATCTCATGGAGGGGCCATCTGAGACTAGCCAGGTTACTGTCCAGCATGTCTGTTGGACACTGGTGGAGAATGAATCATAAGTTGGCCCCATGTCTAAGTCTAATTCAAGTGGATAAGAAAGGGTTTCTGCATCTCTCAGAAGCCAGTTAGGCACAGGTAGCCCATAGTGTGTGACACTGGGCACAGCTATCTCCAGAAATTCCTGCCAGATGCCTTTCTCCTTGGGTCAGTAGAGGACCCAGGGGCTGCGCCCAGGTGTCTAGTCTTCACCAGTCCTGCTCTGATGGCTTCTCAGATGATGTGGTCTCTGGCCCGAGGCTAGGCTAGTCCCATATGGCAATGGCCCCAATAGTTTTTCTTTCACATTTGGGAACTCAAGACCGTTTCCATCTTTACTGGGGGAAGGGGATGGTAGGCAGGTAAGGGGACAATGAGAGAATGAGGGTAAGTAGGAGAAAGAAATATTCATTGCCACTATGGTGGGGGTGGGGGCCATTTCCAATTTATAGCCCTTAAAAGTGCTACTCACAGCAGGGCCCATGACCAGCAGCATCCGTATCAGCTAGGAGATTTAGAAAGGCATCTCACACTTGAATCTGCCCATGCATTACCTATAGGTCTTGTTAAAATGCAGATTCTCATTCCCTAGGTCTGGGCTAGAGCCTGAGAGTCTGTACTACTTCAGACGTCCCAGACCACCCTGGGAAGCAAGGATCGAGAGAAAGAAAGATAGCAGTGGTTCGTGAGGGATAGCTCTCACAATCTTTGCCACCCTCAGAATTGTGTGAGACTAGGCAGGAAGGGTGGGAGATGGGGGTGACCCTCAGAATTCCTGACTTCTGCGCTGGTGCCCCTCTAACCAGCACGTCACTCTCCCTCCTCAGGAGCTGGAATACCAGAAGCGCCAGGCACGGGAACCAAATGACAAGTTTGTCCCAGTCATGAGTGACTTCATCACCGTCTCCAGCTTTAGCTTCTCAGAGCTGGAAGACCAGCTGAATGAGGCCAGGGACAAGGTAAGTGTGGCCCAAGCTCCCAGTCTGGCCCCCATCCTAACCCTATCCCCCCCCCTTTTTTTTTTACTAGAAAAGGCTCCTTCACCCATTTCTACGTTGGGTGGCCCAGAGGGACAAACCCAGCGTCACTGAGCTTTGAGGAAAAGTAATTTCCTCACTCCCTTAAGAAAAGCAATAGCAAGTCTGTTGCAAAGGTCATAATCCATTTAGTATGGGCTTCTTAGAAGGTTATTACCCCATTTTACAAGTATGTACACTGAGATCTGGAGAGGTTAAGAAACTTGCCCAAGGTTTCCCAGCTGTATTGGACAGACCTGAGTTAGAATCCGGACTCCAGCGCTCAGTTTTGGTCACAGTTGTTATTGCGTCTTCCTGGCTTCTCACACTAACATCCCCATGGATCCCACTGGTAGGCTTCCTCATTCAGGAGGTCTGAGATGCCCCTGCTGGTCCAGGCAGCACACTTTGGCTTGAATTAGAGATGGTGGCTGTCAATAATTGTCAGAACAGTGCCTGACACCTATAATTAGAGCTAATGATTTATGTCTCGTAACTCACCTCACCCTCACAACACGATGAGGTAGAGTCTATTGTCGCCATTTTACAGCTGAGGAAACTGAGGAAATAGAGGAGTTAAATTAGCCCAATAACTATATGATCTCTGGGTCATTTTAAGTGCATGACCTCAGGAAGTACTTCCCAAGGTCTGCAGCTCCTGACCCATACCTACACCAATAACAGACCCCATGGTAGCTCTGGGCAGCCTCTGTCAGATGGCTTGGATCCCCCACCTCCCCTTGGTGTCTGCCTCAAGCTTTTCCTTAAGCCTTATCTCTGCCCTGGTGCTAGCAGGCATCCCCCCCTCTCCTCCAGCCCTGCTCCCCTTGGACTGGGCTCTGCTCTGACTGGAACCCAGCTCACCACAGGGGCTGAGCCCACAGTGCTTGGGGGCAGGGGCAGACTCTCACCACCCCTTACCCCCTAACAGTTCTCCAAGGCCCTGATGCACTTTGGGGAGCAGGACAGCAAGATGCAGCCAGACGAATTCTTTGGAATCTTCGACACCTTCCTGCAGGCCTTCTCGGAGGCCCGGCAGGACCTGGAGGCCATGAGGAGGAGGAAAGAGGAGGAGGAACGGCGGGCACGCATGGAAGCCATGGTGAGAGGGCTGGGCTGAGTGGGGTCCTACTGGGGGAGAGCAGGAGGCAGGCAGGGAGACAGGGGTGTCTTAGGAAGGAGGAAAGTGGAGCCAGCTGGTCAACACGGGCCTCCGGGCACACAGGTGGGACTTAGTGCCTGCTGGGAGGCCACTGGTTCGGCAGTTGGACTGTCAGTGGCTGCTCTGGCCTCAGCCTACCTCTCTCTTCCTCCTCCTCCAGCTGAAGGAGCAGCGGGAGCGGGAGCGGTGGCAGAGGCAGCGGAAGGCCCGTGCGGGCAGCGCGCTGGAGGAAGGTGGCGAGTTCGATGACCTGGTGTCAGCGCTGCGCTCCGGGGAAGTGTTTGACAAGGACTTATGCAAGTTAAAACGCAGCCGCAAGAGGTCGGGGAGCCAGGCCCTGGAAGTCACCCGGGAACGGGCAATAAGCAGGCTAAATTATTGACCTGGGGACTGGCCGCAGCATGAGGCAGGAGACGGGGTGGGCCAAGGGGCTGAGCGGAGACGGCCGGGATCCTTAGACAATGTGGTGCTCGGTTTAAACGAGCCCTGGGCTGGGCCGGTGTGTGGCAGGACCAGGGGTCCCTGCACTTACCTGAAGGGGCTTCTCGTATCTCCTGTTCCGTTATTCTTTCTGCATCCCGACCCCCCCAGGGTCACTCCAAGGCCGACTTGGACATACCTGGCAGGTCCTGCTGAAGGAGCCCTGCCCCCTGGCCCCCAGCAAGGGCACGTACATGTTGGCACACAGCTGTTCCAGATCTAGACTGGACATGGGCTTTGTCTGGATTTCATGTACAGTAGGGAGTTCATGGTGGGGTGGGCCCTCTGAGAGCCAGTGAGGGAATGCAGGCCCCCATCCACCAAGAGGAGGCTTAATGGAACATGGATCTGGGAGCAAACTTTCCTCTTGGATGGAAAGGGAAGAGGCATTAGATACTCTAGCTAGATAGGTTTCAGAAAAAGTGTGGGGAGGACGATGCAGGGACCAAGTCATCAGGACATAGAGTAGCAGTGCCTGTTTCCTACATCACAAGTCCCTTGGCCCCTCTCATGTGTAAGACTCTCTCCCTCCCTTGCCTACTGCCATCTCCCTCCTATCTACTAATCCTTAATCCCAGAACACTCACCTTTGGGTTACCACAACTATGGCTCACGATCAGGTACTTGATGAATCTGGTAAGGGAAGGGGTTCAAGAAAGACTCCGATCATCACCACACCTCATGCCTTGGGCCCAAGGACCCTGGAACAAAACTCCTCGCTCCTCCTCCGTACAACCCAACCATTGTCTATAACCACACGCATTGGCTGGGAATTCTGATAGCTCCTCACTAGAGGGCAGCACTTGAACGCCTAGCTCCACTCTGGTGCTCCCTGTCTACCACTTCATGTTCATCAGACCCCAAACTCTTTGTCTTAAGGTCTGCCTCAGGGCAGAAGCCACGGGGACCTCCCCCTCTGTCCAGCCTGCGGAAGCCCGCTTCGAACCACGTGCACCTGGCTAAGGCTGGCCCTGGGGTGTCCGTTCCAGAGATGGTCCAAAGGGCCAGAGCTGCCCTCTGCATTTACATGCGATCTCTGAGGCATTCAGACTGGGAGCCAGAGCAGGCAGGGGAAGCTAGGGAGATGGAATATGGAGGAAAAGGGCCAAGTTCCCTGGGGGTGCACTGCCTGAAGGAAATCAAGGGCAGAAGGCTGGGCACCAGACATGGGGGCTAGGACCCACCTCTCAACTCATTTCTTCAATGTGACTTCCAAGGGATCCTATTCTAGTCCTCTGATCCACTCCCACCATCCATGCTGTTCATTTTGAGCTGTCTTTGGTTGGGGGAGGGGATCAACGGCTGTGTCTAAACAAAACTATCTTTGAAAGAAGGAAGGAGAGGTCAACTCCATCAAGGTTTTTGTTTTCAATCCATTTCTTCCCCCTAGAAGTTGACCTATCATCCTCGGAGTCCAGCCCTCCTGACTCTCCATCAACCAGCTCCTGGCCATTCTATCTCCCAGCCCTTGTCTTTGTTTCTCACCTTTCAACCTACTCCTCCAGCTCAGGGTTATTGCCAGTGGCCACACTGGTGGGCTAGGCCCACTCTTCAGCTGCTTATCTCATCTTTTCCCTACATTAGACTCGGGGGGTAGGGCCAGAGTAGCTGTGGTGGAGGGGAGAAACAGAGTTGGTGAGCCCAGCATGTGTGTTGGTTTGAGGGGGGAGGGATGTGAGCAAATGCAAACCTGGCCAGGCTACGGGGAAAGAGGCCATCCTGGAGTCCAGCTGAAGGCAAGATGAGGGCTTTGGTCTACCCATCTGTCCACCAGACAGCCCCCACTGCCAGAAGCTGGCACTGGGATGGTGGGAAGGTCACGGGTGGGGTCTTTGAAGTTCCTCTCTCAAACTGGCTGGGCTGAGTCAACCTCCCCAGCAGGGGACAGGGGAGGGCTCTGTTTCTATCACCAGCATGTCCAAACTCTGGCCTTCCCACACGCCACGGAAAACTGGATTTTCCAGGAAAGACAAGGAACATAGAAGTTGTTCAAGGTATTTTGGATCCACAGAAAAGCACACTTTGGTTTAACTGTTTACAGAGGACACATACCTTGTTCCAGGGCTCAGGCTTCTCACCCCAAAAGGTTTTTTTTTCCTTCTCTATTTATTGTTTTCTAGCTCTGGCCAGTAGAATAGCCAGATCTACAACCGTGCCTTGGACCACTCACCATCCCAGTTGCCTCAGCAAGGAGGGGCTGGTGCCCCGTGGAGCTGGGGGAGTTGGTCCTGGATATGCTAAATGTTTACGCCTATTACACTTGTTCCTTAGTCTTTGCCCAGTGTCCTTCTCACCCCTCCTGCTCCCTTCAGGTAAATTTCTCCAGCTGTCTAATGTTGTGTCCAATGTAAAATTCAGTTAACCTAATCCAACCTGTCCCCTTCTCAGCAACAGCACCCACCCCCCCTCCCCAGTGAGGGAAGGTAGGTTTTCTGGGGCAGCAGGAGAAAACAAAATTCTCCGGGTGGAAAGGGTAGGGTCTGGTCCAGACTCTCCCCACCCCCATCCCATTTTTACCAACTGGGGTGCCATGACTGTTCCTCCAGCCTCTACGCCACGGCTGCTGTCACCAAGCTGTCTCGGATGACAAGTGAGGCTAATGTACAAAATCAGCAGTGTCCTTTTTACCTGCACCATTTTTATAAGAATATATTGTAATACTAAAAAATATTAAATCCATACCATCCCCCTCCAGCCGTGAAAGCTGTGCCTTCTTCCCGTGCGGGCACAGGAGCTGTGCTCAGGGGCGGTCACAGCCGGTGGGGGGTTGGAGCCTGCTCCCATCCACTCTGAGAGCACCAATCGTTCCATTTCCAGAAGTTCCGCCAGTCAGTCCACATCGTATGGGGAGCTTGATGTTGGCCACGGAATTTGGCTTTTTCTTTTCCCAAGAGGTGGCTGTCTGACATGCACCAGCACCCATGGGTGTCGGGCAGAGGGGAGGTGAGCAGGCAGGGGGTGACCCTGAGGACAGACCCCAGACACCTAGCCACAGAGGTGAACCCAGCCAGTCCAGGGTTTGGGGAGGTGCAGACCAGGAAACTCTAAGTGCACCCCGTGATCTCTAATAGCAAACCCTGTGATGAGCTTTGGACGCCCCCACTGGCCACTTATGGCAGGAGGTGCCTCTCTTGGCCTCCCAAGGGAAGACAGGGGATCCACAGAGAATGTGCCCCTTTGGCTCTGATAGCATCCTTCCTGCTCCTCTTTCCCTGGGGGGCGAGGGCGCGGGCATGAATTCATGGCACCTCAGAAAGTCCCCATTCTTACATCTCCGAAGTTGGCATTGTGGCTTTATTTTATACGCTGTGAGGGTGAAGGCAGTCTTCAACTCTCTTCTTTCCCTGATATGTTCCAGAACAAAGGGCTGTGGGTGTGGGGTGGAGGTGGAAGAGCAGTGTGCAGGGGCAGTTGTCCTCAGGGCTGCTACCCATGTGTGTCCTGTCCTAGTGCAGGGGGGCCCAGGAAAGGGAGCTGCTAGCAGGACGAGTGCAGCAGTGAAGCCAAAACCCTGCAAGTCTGATGGGACCCAGACGCAGGCCAGAGGAGGGAAGAACTGGCCCTTTTAGAGGGATGGTGGGGGTGCGGCTCCCCAAACTTGGGAAGGCAAAACCGCTTTAGAGAAGTAGTGCAACATTCTTAATGCAAACCGTGCTCTTCCCTCCTCACAGTGGGTTCCCTCTGCTTCATGAGCCCTTATTCTCTCCCAAGGAAAGAGAAGAGAAAACCCAAAATGAAGAGTGGAAGTTAAGGGCCGTCCCGTCTGAAACTACATGTGTTATCTGGGGACTACGGCAGACCATGGGATTTCTCGGTTCCCTAGTGCTGCTCACGGCAATCCCCTCCCGTGACTGGAGTGTCCAGGAAGGGTGACAGGAGACTGTGTAGCTCACTAGAGATGGTGTAGCAGTGAAGGGGGCGCCGACCTCGGGCTCCTGCTGGCGGAGGTAAACAGGGACGGAGTTATAGGAACTTGTGGGAACTGCAGCCCATCTTGACCTGGCTGGGCCAGGGGTGAGAAGCAAAGAGCTCTAAGTCCGCTGGAAGTCCCCACGCTGACCCCCGGTCTTGCTCAGGAGCTTTATCTCCCCCAACACGATGTCTCTGCTAACAGCCTTGCACATGTCGTACACAGTGAGGGCAGCCACGGCAGCAGCGGTCAGGGCTTCCATCTCCACACCGGTGGGGCCCCGAGCCCGGCAGGACGCCTGGATCCCCACCGCGTGGCGTGTGGCATCCAGTTCCAGCCACACCTGGACGTGGCTCAGGGCCACATGGTGGCAGAGAGGGATCAGCTGGCTGGTCAGCTTAGCCGCCTGGACTCCGGCCAGCTGGGCCACCGCCAGGGCATCGCCCTTCTTTAGCTGGTTCTCCTGGACGAGCTTGAAGGCCACGGGCCCCAGGAGGACCACGGCTGAGGCCACAGCCACCCGCTCCGTGTCAGGTTTCCCACCCACATCTACCATAGCTGCCCGTCCTTCCGTGTCCACATGGGTTAGTTGGTCCGCAGTTGGCAGGGGTCCTGATGGGGTGGCAGGAGCCTGGGCCACTGCGCTAAGGCACTTTGGGTTGTCATCCGAGTCGAGGTGGGAGCTGTAGTGTCTCTGAAGGCAGCTGGACCTCAGCTGCCACTGGGCAAGAAGAGGGGTCCGGGGGAACCAGCCTCCTTCCCACAGAGTCGCCTTCTGGTTGGAGAAACTCACTCTGTGTCTTATACCCTGAACACGAAAGGGGTCCTGGGAGGAAATGCTTGGGATGGCTGGTGGGGAATCTTGGAGCAGCAAAAGAAACTCTGGAAAGCAAGAAGGAAAAAGAAGAAAGACTAAGCCCAAAAGGGAAGTTTCCTTCCCCACCTCTTCTCCCATCCCTTCCCTGCCCACCTTGAGTTGAGCTTCCACCAGGGTGGGGGTGGGGGGCATGAAGAGCAAAGAGCACAGGAGGAGAGAGAAAGCAGGAGGTACACAGACAGAGGGTCCCAGAATACAGGTCTGCAGCCCCTCACGACAGGCGGTATGCAGAGCACAGCCCCATCAGTGTCTCTGGGCCTACAGGGGTTGGGGGAGCGCTTCCGGGGTCCCCTCTGCACCAACTTCCTTGCCGCCAAGGTTCTTTTCACAAACACCCAGGATCTGAAGACTGTAGCCCAATCACATGACCTCTCCCTGTCCTGGTGTTCTTCTAGAAGCTATAGTGAGGTCTCAGCCTGAATTACCAATCACAGTTACTCTCCTCATCACATTCTCTAGGAAGATTTAATAGTAATTACTGAGTTTATAGAGAAGACGGAGAAATATTGTATCTCTTTCCACAACGTCTTTGAAGGCCCCTCAAGGCCATCAGAATGACCCGCAGAGCGACAGGCAGATACAAACAGTGCCAAGGGCCTTGGGAGACTTGCAGGCTCTTGTTACCTTAAGGGTGGTCTGGTGCAGAACCCCAGCCCAGACCTACTGAACCCAACTCTGAAATGACAAGATCCCCAAGTGATTCATGTGCACGTGAAAGTCGGAGGCCCTTTTCCAGGCAACTCCTGCTTTTATAGAAACCAGACCAACTTATTACTCTATGTCCTTAAGAGGAATAATACACCTCAGGAAGCAAACAGTCCTCCTAATTTCCAGGTTCCCAGCTCTGGGCTCCCACCCGGCCAGTACCAGAGGTACAACCTCCCTCCCAGAGCAGCCACGAAGGCACGCCCACTGCTTGCCATCAAGATGTGTCAGCATGGGTCAAGGCCCAGCCGTAGGACTATGACGCTGGAAGTGAGGGAAGAAGAGAGATGGTCAAGTTTTCTTCCCAGGGGAGAGCTTTGGTGAGCTGCCTTTCCCTCTCCGGGAGGCTGGTATGGGAGGCAGTCCTTGGGCTGTCTCTGGTCCATGCCAGCCTGTCTTCCTCTGGGCCCCTGCACTCATTAGACTCCAACCCCTGGAGAAGAGAATCCCTTCCCCTAGCTTTTCTCACTGCTTTCTCTTGCCTGCTGGTACAATTCAGAGGCCCAGATCTGGCTGTGGCCAAGTTTGGGGCAAGGTCTCCCCTGCTCTCGTCTGGGTATCTGGCAGAAGGGTAACAGCAACCCTAAAGCTCCTGGTGGACCAGCCAGTTCCCCAGAAAACACAGAGGACTTTATGCATGTAAGTTCTCAGGAGTTAAGGAGTTAGGCAGGCCTCCTTCCTGAAAAGATCAGGAGCATTCTTAGTTGGCTGTCCAAAGCTCTGCCCAGCTCCTGTAATGGCATCTAGTCTGGGAGGTCCTAGAGCCAAGGACGGGGTCTCCGTCTTAACCAGGAGCTCCATGTTTGGGGCACAACAACATTAGTGATCATAATTCTGAGGACCCCCTGCCTCAGTTCCCGGTAAAACAGAAGTATGATTTCTATGGTACACAGAGGGAGGGGGAGCAACGGCCAGGGAAGAGAAGACACAGGAAAACTGGAGAGGCGAGAGCAAATGGAGGAAGAGCAGAAGAAACACAAAGATGTGAACATCAGGATGAAATGCAGGATCGGGGGGGACAGGGTACCCTAGGGCCGGGGCCCCACCCTGCAGGATCCCCAGGGCCAGGGTGAGTGGTTACGTACTGATGGGTCACCCACCGATGAGGATCATGGGCCGGTTCTTCATCTGGGCAATACTGAACATGCCTGGGATAAGAGAAAGACGGGGAGGGAGAGGAAAGCAGGAAAGGGAGAAGGGAGGGGCAGGGAAAGGAGAGTTCACTGAAACCGTGGTGGACACAGTGGTGTGACAACCCGGGGACACACACTCACCTGGGTGCACCCTGACAGAAAGCCCCACTGCACAGTGCAAGGTCATCCCCAACAGAGCCTGAATGGGTGCCCTTGGGGGGACACGGTGGATGCCTGGGACCACCCCCGACAGAAGGCAATGTGCGGGATGAGAGAGGTGCAGTGCCCCCCTATCCCCCGCTTCCCCTCTACCTCTACCTGATAAAACAGCTCAGGAGAATTCAGGGCACCCTGTCCTGCACGGGCTCTGCTGTACCCATGCCCCTGAGGGAGGAGAACCATCACTACACCCCTGGTCTACAAGTGCCACAGGAGGGACTGAGCACCAGGATTGGCACGGAGTCCTGCTGGCTTCCTGCCAAGCTTTGCTCTGTCCCCTCAGCCCCTGCGGCCCACTCAGCAGCCACCCCAGCCTTCCCTGTGCCCACCCCTTACCTGCGTGCTGCCGCTTCTTCCTGCCCACAGCGGCCCCGATGACCCTCAGCAGCTCCTCCTCGGAGGCCCCTGCCCGTAGGTGGTCCCGGAGAGACACCTCTGAGTTCCCGAAGAGGCAGACCTGTGGGCAGTCACCATGGGGATGAGGCGGACGTGCCTCCCTTGGCCCGGAGCCTTGGTTCCCCCCTGCCTAGAGTCCCCTGTGGGCTGAGCGCCAGCACCCAGGCCTCCTATGGCTGGGTCATACTCAAGGCAGGACTTCCGGCAGGGAGGGACAGAAGGTGCTGGATGGTGAAGTCACAGAAGCCGAAAGGACAGGAAGCAAACTCAGACATCCCGAAGCCTGTATCTGATTTGCGGTCATGTTACCTTCAGTTACCACAAAAAATTAAAGAGCTGCCAACGGAAACAGCACATTTCTGGTCCTGGTCCATACCTTCTGAGACAGTCCCCAGAGGAGCCTCTTCATGGCCTTGAGAACAGACCCCAGTCAGCTGAGTCCCCGCAGTGCCCCCAGACGCGGCATGAACATCCCACTTTACCCCTGGCCCCTCAGGGTCCCTACGTGCCTGGACATTCCCCGCCTGCCTCCGAACCCACTCCAGCTTGTGACCCGGGCTGGTGGCTGGACAGCACGAGCCTGTGGGAGGGGACATCCTGAGGCCATTCAAACTCGATGCTCCCCGGCTTCCAGGAGAGGCTAGATGCGTGGGGGCTCAGGGCTGGATGAGACAGTCTCAGCAAGTGAGATCCCACACTTCTCCCACAAAATTTTATAAAGCACCTCCTAGGTGCTCGTAGAAGGCACTGTGCACAGAGGATGGAGGGATGTCTGAGAAACCTCTGAGGGCAGAGAGCACTGGAGAAGCTACGGACAGAATCTAAATCTAATCTAAGAAGGGTATACCTACTTCCCTCTGCTGCTAGTCCCCCTCCTTTACTCCCCCACCAGGCCCCAGGGGCCACCCTCTGCCCCAGGGGCTCCACCTCCTGAGAGCCTCTCCACCTGGCTTCTGCCTCAGTTGGCTGGTGGGAGACTGGAGAGTGAGAAGAAAGAAAGAACGGGCATTTCTGCCCCGCTTCTTCCGCGATCTGCTCTGTCAGGAGGTGACTGCTCTCCCCAACAGCTGCAGCGCCAACCAGGTGGCTGCCCGCCGCCCGGCTCCAGCTCTCTGTGGGCCCCGGGGGACCCTGCTTCCTCCCCTCCCCCTCCTCCAGGTGCCCCGGGATCCCCTCTAAGTCCCCATTCACCCTGCACTGTAGACAGTCTCTCTTCAGGGAGGCCCAGGGAAATCCCCTGGCTCCTGAACAAGCGCTGGATGGTCCCCGGACGTCCTACTCAATGCATCTGTCCTCCAACCCCCTCCTCCCCAGTGCTGACCAGCTCCCAAAGCCAACCGCCCCCACCCCCGGATGCCTTCTCGGGGCCCTCCGTGGGCCTTACCAAGCTCCTTCCTTCTCCCTCCCGTTCTTGCCTCACATTCTCCCCTCCGGGGAACACTGTTAAGTGGCCCTCTGACTAGTCTTCCTGTTTCCAAATCCAACCAGTGTGTTGCCTTCCTCAAACATGAACGGGAGTCACGTCCTCCCTTGTCCAGAAACCGCACAGCCCCCTACCACCCACAGAACACACGCCATACCTTTTGCCTGGGCGCTCAGGCCCTCCAGCACGCGGTCTCCCCATATCTGGCATTTGTCTGCCCTCGCCGTGTCAGTATGAACTCCAGACAACTGTCACCCTCACTTCTCCACCCTTCAAGGTCACCAGTGTCCACGACTCACTCTCTCCAGGTCCACCACCCTTGTGGCCTGTCTGGCCACTCATCGGACGCAGAATGACGTCCTTACTAGGCGGTCCTACGAGGGAGACTTTACCTCTGAAGGGAATGGTGTGTCTACAGCTCTCAGATATTCCGCACAGGGCTGAAGGCACAGCGTGTACTGCGCAGGTATGAGTAATGGATGCTGGTCTCAGAGCTGAGCCCCTGACCTGGAAAGGGGCCCACTGGGGTGATGGCTGAGGCCCAGTGCATGCAGCCCCTCACCTCTCCCCTGCCCACCACGCTAATATTGAGTCCAGGCAAGTGGCTCTCGATCAACCGGAAGGTACCTCAGGGGCCCCAGGAAGGAAGGCCATGGGTAGACTTTCCCCTTCTGTCCCCATGCGCTCCTCAAAATGGGCCCTATTTCACCAGCCACGCTATGTGTCCTGCTACCTGCTGGTCTCCCCTCCCACCAGGGGCACAAGTGCGAAGGGAGATTCACAACACAGAAGGGACAAGGGGGCCCTTATGGGGAGAGGGACACTTACCTTGAGGTTCCCGTCAGCTGTGATTCGCAGTCGGTTACAGGTTCCGCAGAAATGCTCAGACATGGACGTGATGAAACTGAGCTGGCCTTGGAAGCCAGGGATTTTAAAGGCCTGTGGTGAGCAGGGAAGGAAGGGCCGTGGAGGGGCTGGCACCTGATGGGCCACTGAGGGCACCAGGGCCCCCCCTCCACAGCTCTCTCTGGAGGAACTCAATGGAAGGGAGCACCCCTGGGCCCCAGCCAACAGAACACTGGTACAAGGCATGACCTAGGAGCTCTCTGCCTGCACCTGACCTGCCTGACAGCAAACCAGCTATGGATTCGGAGGCCTGTGGGCCACAGGGCCAGAGCACCTGCCCACTGCTCACTGAAGTGTGGCCTAGGACAGGGTACTTATGGCCAACCCATGCCCCATGCCCAGCCAGCTGCTCTGTCCATGAGGAGGAAGGCAGATGTGAAGGCACAGTCATGCCTCCCGCTACATGGCACTGCCCCGCCTTGCTGCATTCTGACCTCAGTGTCCACTCTCCCACGCCTCTCCGCCCAACTCAGCCCCAGCCTCCTGCCCCCAACCTTGGCTGTGCTGGATTCCTCCTCAGGCAGCTTCTCCAGCTCTGGCCACTGCTGCCGGAGGGTGTCCAGCATCTCCTTGTAGCTCACCATCTTCTTGAAGTTCCATCTGTTACCTGTGTTGGGGTTGGAAGCCACTGAGCCACAGAGTTGCAGGGCCCTGGGGTCTTCAGGTCCATCCTCCCACAGGGCCCAGGAATCAGTTCCGCCTCTTGGATGGGAGGGTGGGAGGCCCGGCCTAACCCAGGTGGGTCAAACCATACCAATGCTCAACTTGGAGATGCCTCTGATGCCCTATCATAGCCAGAGCCCTGGCACCTGCCCAACCCCCCGCCCCCACCATTATGCACATAGCAGGACCCAGGGTCAGCAGCATCCACAGGCCCGGTCAGCAGACCTGTTCCACCCCACTCAACTCCTCCCAAAGTCCTTAGCATCCCTGCACTATACTCTCAGCATGGCGCTGGACCAGCTCTGCCACCAGGCCCCATCTCCTCTTCCCTCCCTACCCCAGGTCACTGACCATCGAAGGGCATGTACTCTATGAAGCGCACGTCCAGAGGGAGGCCCTCAGTCAAGGCCACGAAGTCCAGGAGCTCGTCCTCGTTCAGGCCTCGCATCACCACACAGTTCACCTGGCCAGGGACAAGGGGACAATAAGGGCTGCTCCCCTTGGGATCTTCTTCAGGAATGACCTTAGGGGGTCTGGTGCTTGCCTAGGCTCTCCACTGGAGGGCCCGTTCCTTGACTCTCTCCCCCAGTTCTGAAGTTGGGGATTCCAAGGGGGTCACTGGTTTTCTCCCCTCCCTTGTAGGGGCCCGCTGGATACCAGCAGGGGGCAAGGGAGTGGTGGGGGGATGGCTGCACTGGCCAGGGCAGGGGGCTGCCATGGACCCAGATGGCGGCAGTATAAGGCCTAGCCAGGGTAGAGGGGCAGAAGTCAGAAGTCAAAAGCAACAGTATGCACTCACCTTCACAGGGCTGTAGCCTAGCTCGATGGCCTTGTGGATGCCCTCCATGACCTTATGGAAGCCTGCAAGGAAGAAGAGAAGGGTCTGGAAACTTTCTCCTTCTCCCCTGCTCCCCTTACAACCAGAGGGAAGCACCAGAGCAGTAAGGCGCCTCAGAGACCACCGCATCCAGGGGCCAGATAGTAAATATTCCAGGCTTTACAGGCCAAGAGGTGAAATTGAGGATATTATTAGGTATATTCTGTAAAGACTATATTGACTAATTTCAGAGTCTAATAATTGAGTACCATTTTTTATAACATAGTTCTACACATATAATGGAGGAATGGAATTCTTTTTGCCAGGATGATATTTTGCTTAACTAGGAGTTCATAGTTAATGTTCCCTGTCATTAAGTGGATTATAAATATTATCTGCCAAATTCATTCTTGGCTCCCAGGCTATAAAATTAAAACAAAAAAAGGTAGGGGGCTGGATTTGGCTGGTGGACTGTAGTGTGCCAACCCTGATCTAGGTGACCCCTCTCATTGTCCAGATGGGGAACCCGAGGCCCTAAGGAGAGGCAGTGCCCTGCTGGAGGCCTCTCGCTGCATGCCCGAGAATGCAGGTTTCTAGACTCCCTTGTCAGTGCTTTACACGTCTGTCCATTCGTGCGCTCTGCCTGCTCTCACTATCACTGACTGTGCAAGGGCTGTACCAGTGCCGGTGAGCGATTAGTATGCAAGTGGGTCTCCCATCTCTGTGGTTGACCCCCAGTACCCGCGATCCCAGCTAAGCTCCTTCTCACTGTCTGGCTCACTCTCCACTCACTCGTGCGTCCAAACATTTGAGTGCCTTCTACACACCAGCCCCTACGCCACCCCATACAGCCGGTGATGGTGTGTGGTTCACAGCTGGGCCATCCCCCTGGGGGAGGGTGGCCGGATGATGGTCTCCACGGTTTCCCTGCAGCATTTTTAGATGGCCCGGCGAGGGAGGCAAAAGGGAGGAAAGTGCAGCTTTCATAGAAAATGCTGTTATGATCATCTAGCAGTTTCTTGCTTTGTGAAGCACTCTACCTCCAAAAGGAGGCAGTGGACACGAGAGTATAAATGGGAAGGCAGATCTGACATCAGGATCTACTGTCTCCGATCCTCGTTCTAGGAAATGAGATGAGGAGGCAGGGGACACATGGATGTTGGGTTGCGGGGGTGAAACCCACAAATGCACTTTCCACTTGCCTGCCTCAGAGCCCTTGCAGGTTCCCAACTGACATTCTCCTTCAAAGTAAGCTCCCTTCATCTAACTCCTCTCCCCATTCCTCATTACTCAAGACCCAGAGTAAGTGCCTCCTCCATGGAGCCCTCCAGGTCTCCCCTGCTGAATTCTCTCTCCTCCTCTGTAGCACTTTAATCAACACCACAAGGCAAATAAAGGTAATCTAGTAGCATCACATATTTTGGCGTGTAAGGCAGAGCAATGTCCTGTGTGTCTCTGTCCCCACCCCAGCACTGGGAGCAGCTCTTTCCAGAAGGCAAGGACTCCATGAGCCCGTCCTCAGCGCATAGTTGGTATAAACAGGGAGTCACCGCATGGAGCAGGGGAAAAAGAAACTGGGGCTGGGAGCTAGAAGCTGTTTCCAGAGAAGAGGAAGGATTGCTGAGTCTCTAACCCTGCAGAGAAGTCTCAGTTAGGGACCACCCTCGCCAAATCAAAGGGCATCCAACCCTGGATACTTCCTATCCCAAACTAAAGTCCATGGCCCAGGAGATATCGGGTGTTGATCTAATGAGACCTGGGGCTTAGGGCTGCTCTACCTCCCCCTGCCAACACCTGTACCCTCCCTGATGAAGCTTGGTAAGGGGAGGCCGCGGCAGTGCTGGCCTTGACCCTGGCACCTCCAGGCAGCTGCTTTCACCCTGGGCTGCCCCACATTTCCTCAGAGCTCATTATGGGGTAACCGACTTGTCCCACCTGCCAGCGACCACCTTGGTTTTAAAATGGAAAGGCCTGCACTCTAGCAACACTCTCAGTCCTGGGCACATTGGGGGCAGAGCAGGAGGAGACTGGTCACCACCACAGGTCTTAGCATCGAATCCCACAAGACAGCTGGTAAAGCTGAGGGGTGAGGAATAAGTGCCCCAGTTCATCTATAGCTCAGACACCAAAAAGGGAGCAACCAGGCCCCCTGCCATGGCTCCTCCGCCAGGTGGGCCCTTGGAAGGCTGCCCGCAAACGCAAGCCACATCCTCTCACCCTTCCTGCGAACGATGAACTCAAATTTGGCTGGCACCAGAGTATCCAGGCTGATGTTGATGGCACTGAGACCGGCTTTCTGCAGCTGAGGGAGCAGCCGGGCTAGATTGATGCCATTGGTGGTGATGCCGATGGTCCTCAGCCCTTCCAGCTGGTGGAGCCGCGCTGTAGACAGAGCAGGAGTGGGGAGTCAGTCGGATTACTCCTGGAGGCCGGGAGAAGGGCTGGAAGAAGAAACTCCAAGTCCAAATGAGATGGATGGAAAAGGGGTTATCTGGATTCTTCTATTAACTGGGCTTAGCTTAATAAAAAACAAAACAAAATAAAACAAAACAAAAAACCCCAGAAAAACCGAAAAAAAAAAAAAAAAAAACCTCTGATAAAAATAACCAAAAGATTAAACACTGAGTGCTCGCTCTAGTAGAGGCCCTGCTGAGGCTTTGTGTGCCTTAGAGCACTGAAGCCTCACAACAAGGATCATCCCCATTCACTAGATAAGGCAAGAGAGACCTGGAGAGATTAAGAAAATTGCTTGAAGTCGCACAGCTAGTAAGAATGGCTGAGATTCAAATCCATGTGTACTTGACTCTAAGACTATGCTCTGAGTTAACCAACTCACAGGTGCTCATACTCTGCACAGGAGAAGCAAAGAAGTGTTTGGATTATTTGCTAATGGCCTCCTCCATTCCACCCCACGTCCCTAGACGTAACAGAAGGATGAAAAAAGAGTCCACAACAGCCTCAGAAGGCAAGAAAGCATGCCTTCAATGGCCCAGATAAGTGGAGGAATCCTGAAAGACAGAAAGCAGATGGGCTCACGTGGATTGAGGAAACCATAGCCCAAAGCACATACAAAAGGTTCTGTACAAAGTAGGAGGGGAACTAGCATACCCCAAATTTAGCAGTCACCTACACAGGGTGTAGGAAGGACCCTGCGCCTGTCGAGATTACCAGTCTGGGGAACTGTATTTGCCTGAGCTGGGTAAATTGGTCTCCCTCCATCCCTGCCTGCAGGGGGAAGGCTGCAGCTTGTACCCCAAGGCTAACGTACTTAAACTAGTTGAGGGAGGTAGGGAAACCAGCATGAATACAAACAACACTGGCAGCAGGCCAACAAAAGCCCTGGGCACTGAGATGAGTACAGAGCCAAGAGTCAGCACATATTTAAGAAGAATGTTGCAAAAGAAAGATAAATTCCACAAACAGAAGAATGAAAGAGGAAGGAAAAGTGACAGAGATAACAGAAGAAGATTCTTTTAAAAATCATAGTGCCCATCACCCCAATTTACTGAACACTACACCTGAAATGCATGATGTACTATCAGTTGGCTACTTGAATTAAAAAAAAAAAAATCAGAGTTAGATGAACATAGATGCAAAATCCTCAACAAAGTATTAGCAAACCATATCCAACAATATATTAAAAGGATTATACATCAGATCAAATGGAATTTACCCCAGGGATTTGAGAAGGGTTCAAACATTCACAAAATCACTGTGATATATACTACATTAAAAAAAAAGGATAAAAATCAGATGACTATCACATTAGATGCAGAAAAAACATCTGACAAAATCTGTCACACTTTCATGACAAAAACTTTTTTTTATTTAAGATTTTTATTTATTTATTTGACAGGGGGAGAGAGAGAGAGAGAGATCACAAGTAGGCAGAGAGAGAGAGGAAGCAGGCTCCCTGCTGAGCAGAGCCAGATGTGGGACTTGATCCCAGGACCCTGAGATCATGACCTGAGCCAAAGGCAGAGGCTTAACCCACTGAGCCACCCAGGCGCCCCATGACAAAAACTCTTAAAAAGAAAAAAAGTGGGTATAGAAGGAACATTCCTCAACATAATAGAAGCCCTATATGACAAGCCTACAACTAACATCTTAGTCAATGGTGAAAAGCTAGATCAGGAGCAAGACAAGGATATTTGTTCCTGCCACTTTTACTCAACATAGTACTGGAGGTCTTATTAGCTAGACCTTAGGGGGAAAAAAGAGATACAAGGCATCAAACTGGAAGAGAAAAAGTAAAGCTGTCACTATTTGCAGATGACATATTATATAGAGAAAGCCCTAAAGAAGCCACCAAAAACCCATTAGAACTAATAAATGAATTTAGTATAGTTATAGGATATAAAAGTCAATATACAAGAATTTGTTACATTTCTAAATAGTAATGACAAATTATCAGAAAGTGAAATAAAGAAAACAGTCCCATTTATAATTGTGTCCAAAAGAACAAAATACCTAGAAATTAATTTAACCAAGGAGGTGAAAGACCACTACACTGAAAACTCTAAGACATTAATGAAAGAAGTTGAAGAAGACACAAATAAATGGAAAGATATTTTGTGCTCATGAACTGGAAGAAATAATATTATTGAAATGTTCATTCTACCCAAAGCGATCTAGATTCAAAGCAACTTCCATCAAAATTCTGGCATTTTTTTCACAGGAATAGAACAATCCCAAAATATGTATAGAACCACAAAAGGCTCCACATAGACAAAGTCATCCTGAGAAAAAAAAGAACAAAGTTTGAGGCATCACATCCCCTGATTTCAACTAAATTACAAAACGATAGTAATCAAAACAGTTATGGTACTGGATAATAACAGACACATAGATTGATGGAACTAAACACAGAGCCCGTAAGTAAACCCATGCATACGTAGCCAAGTAAGTTATGACAAAGGAGGCAAGAATATGCAATGGGGAAAGGAGAATCTTTTCAACACATTGTGTACCACTAACTTATACCATGCGCAAAAATTAACACGGATTAAAAACTTGATCTAAACCATAAAACTCCTAGAGGAATGCAGGGGTGATAAGCTCCTTGACATCAGTGTTGATGATGATTTTTTGGAATTGACACCAAAAGCAAAGGCAATAAAGGCAAAAATAAACAAGTGGGAAAACATCAAACTAAAATGCTTCTGTTTACAAAGGAAACCATCAACAAAATAAAAAGGCAACCTACTGAATGAGAGAAGATATTTGTAAGTCATATATCTAGTAAAGGGTTAATACCCAAAATACAAAAAGAACTCACACAACTTGATAGTAAAAACCCAACAGTCCAATTTAAAATGGGCAGAGGATCTGAACACTTTTCCAATATATATAAGATGGTCCAACAGATATATGAAAATATGTTCAACATTACTCATCATCCAGGAAATGCAAATCAAAACCACAGTGAGATATCACCTCACACCTCTTAAAATGGCTATGATAAAAAAGACAAGAAATAATGTGTTGGGAAGGATGCGGTGAAAAGAGAATGCTTGTACAATGTTGGTGGAAATGTAAATTGATACAGTTACTATGGAAAACAGTACAGAGTTTCCTCAAAAACTTAAAATTAGAACTATCATATGATCCAACAATTCCATTTCTGGGTATATTTATCTGGAAAAAAAAAATCCCACAACAAAAACACTCACTCAAAAATATAGATGCACTCCCACTGTTCACTGCATTATTTACAAAAACCAAGACATGAAAACAACCTAAATGTCCACTGATGACGCATGGATAAAAAATAGTGTGGTATACACACACACACACACACACACACACACACACACACGCGTGCGTGCACAAATATACAATGGGATGTTATTTCACCATAAAAAAGGAAGTGTTGCCATCTGTAACAACATGGATGGACCTTGAAGGCAAATGCTAAATGGAATAAGTCAAACAGAGGAAAGCAAATACCATGTAAGCTCACTCGTATGTGGAATCTAAAACCAAAAAAAACCTGAATTCACAGATAAAGAGAACAGGTTGCCAGAGGTGAGGGATAGGAGGTGAGCATAATGGGTGAAGGGGGTCAAAAGGTACACGCATCAGTTATAAAACAAGTCATGGGGATGTAATGTACGGCACAGTGACTATAGTTAATAATACTATATTCAACATCGGAAAGCTGCTAAGACAGTAGATCTTAAATAACAAGGAAATAACAAGGAATCATAAATAACAAGGAAAATAATTATAATTATAAAATAATTATAATTACTGATAGATGTTACCCAGATTTATCGTGTTCATTTTGCAATATATACAAATATTGAATCATTGTGCTGTGCACCTGAAGTTAACAATGCTATATGTGAATTACAGGTCAAAAAATCAGAGTTAATATCCTCAGGAGGATAAATATTACATCCTGAAAACAAGAACAAGAACTAATTAGAACTCTGGAAAATAAAAGTATAGTTATAGAAAGAAAACAAAACAAAACCAAACCAGGGTGCCTGGGTGGCTCAGTCAGTTGAGCATCTGACTCTTGATTTTGGCTCAGGTCATGATCTCAGGGTCCTGGATGGAGCCCCAAGTTGAGCTCCATGCTCAGTAGGCCATCTGCTTGAGATTCTCTCTCTCCCTCTCCTGCTTGTGCATTCACTCTCTCTCAAATAAATCTTTAAAAAGAAAAAAAAAAAAAAAGGAAAAAGCTAGATGGAAAAACAGAATGGACAGCTATGAAGAGCAAATGAGTGACCTGGAATTGAGCAAAGGGATTCTCCCATAATTATATACAAAACAATGAAATGGGACCCAAAAAAACAAAACAAAACAAACAAACAAAAAAAACCCAAAAAAAAAACCCCAAAACCCAAAACCAAAAAAAAAAAAAACCCAAGGCTTATATATATTTTTTAAAATCTTTTTTTTTTTTAAGATTTTATTTATTTATTTGACAGACAGAGATCACAAGTAGGCAGAGAGGCAGACAGAGAGAGAGAGGGGAAAGCAGGCTCCCTGCTGAGCAGAGAGCCCGATGCAGGGCTCGATCCCAGGACCCTGAGATCATGACCTGAGCCAAAGGCAGAGGCTTAACCCACTGAGCCACCCAGGTGCCCCAAGGCTTATATTTAAATATAGAAAAAGATACTGTGTAAAAATGTCCACAGTAGTTATCTTTGATCAGGAGGGTTATAGGTGATTTTTATATTCACTTATCCAGAGTTAAAATTTGTTTCAAACTACTGAATGCACGAATCTTGGTGAACAATCAGCTTAGCTGTGCATGAGTGCAGAAACCAGAAGTAAAGTGCCCAAGACAAGCTGGACTGAGAAAAAGAAAACAGCAGCTCACAAAGTTAACACCCAGTTTAGGTAGGGGTGTGTGGAAATGCACACGATCA